TGCGCTAAGTAGGAACATTGCCACCGTCAATATGAATGTAAACATTGAAACGATTGCGAGCGATAAAATGAGAGAACTTCAGATGAAGGAACAGCGATGGAAGGAAATTATTGAACATCTGGAAGGAGGGAAATATCCTGCGAGAAAACAAAGTACCTCTTTAAATGACTTTGCACTCAAAGAAGGAGTGTTGTACCATGTAAATGCCCAGAAAGACAGGGCGTTGTTTCAGCTAGTTATCCCTGACGCATTAAAGCCTTCGGCATTAAAACTTGCGCATGCGTCAAAGATTGCAGGTCACCCGGGAGTGTACAAAACTTACACAAAGGCCAAGTCATTATTTTATTTCCCAGGGTTATTATCACATGTAATTAAGTACGTCAGGTCATGTGGGAACTGTCAACGACGCAAAGGTACTCCTAAAGTACAAGCCCCACTCCAGGAATTCTCAGAGATAACAGAACCCTTGGATCGGGTGGGGGCTGATTTAATTGATTTACATAGTAGCAATTCAGGCAACAGATATGCGCTAGTTCTAGTGGACCATCTGTCCAGGTATACCACTCTAGTAGCCCTTCCCAGGAAAGACCCCCAAACAGTGGCAGATGCATTTTTAGCTAGGTTTGTTACTGTGTTCGGTCCGCCTAAAGTTCTAGTATCTGACAGGGGACAGGAGTTTATTGGTAGTTTATTTCAGGAAGTATGTAAACTCTTAGAGACAACAACAGCGCTAACAACAGCATACCATCCCCAGACGAACGGCATGGTGGAACGAACTAATAGGACGGTGAAGGATATGCTTGCCATTTTAGCAGAGAATGACCCGGCCACTTGGGATGAACAGTTGCCCTTTGTTCAGTTTGCACTAAACACCGCAGTGCACCAGTCAATAAATACTCAACCACTCTTGCTGTTTACTGGACACTCGTGTAATTTTGCGTCAGGTCTGCTTAACAGACATACTATTAGTTATGGAGAGGATTATCCTTCAGAAATCCTCACCAAGATGAAGAATGCATGGAGGATAGCAGCTGAAGCATCAAAGAAAGCAAGGACACGGTATGCCCATTATTATGATAAGCAGGTACAACCATTAAGAGTGAAAGAGGGAAGCCTAGTGATGCGGTTGAATGAGTCAGCGCCCGCCAATCAGAGTAGGAAGTTAGCAGCTAGATGGCGAGGCCCTTATAGAGTTATTAAGAAACTAGGCCCAGTAAATTTCATAATTAAGGGTATATTTGAAGACCAGGTTGAAAGAACCATCCATATAAATAAATTGAAACTTTATGTAGCAAGGGAAGAACTGGAATTACCTTCAGTAATTCCAGTCCCTGAGAGAGTGGAGGGAATGGTTATTCCTGATGCTCAATCGGAGGAGGATGATGACATCCTATCATCCTTACTTAGTAGCCAAGTTAGGCCTGGTCACCCTATGGTCACCAGATCTCGCGCGCACATGAGCGCACAGTAACTGAGTTCAGCTGTCATCTGAGTTATAGGTAGAGGCAAAGAATTGTACTGTAGGTGCTTAGTCAAGAGTGACGTACCTTTACCTACCCTGGAGGAGTTATCTTTCTCAAAACCTCCAGGGCAGATCCAGGTCTCCACCAGACATGAGTTATGAATGTTTCTTTTCCCAGGTCTGCTCACATTGCCACACTGTCGGCCATATCCCATCTCTACAACTGAGGCCAGAGTAGCATGTCACCGCTATTGTCTGGCGGGAACCAGGTTTAGTTCCCGAGGGACAGGACGGGTCACACTACATCACCCCCTCCATCCCTCACCCCCCCACCCTTATTAGTGGTACCTGCCATGGTGGGGGCGGCTACAAGTCAAGGTCACAGCCAACACCTCATCACTTAATGAGGTTATGGAACTGCCAACACTAGCTGTCATCTGGAGGACTGATTCAACATATCAGACGAGACATTAATGAGGTCACCTGCCTTGCTATACAGAACACCGGTGACCGGAAATGAACAGCCAAGAACAACGGAGTGGATTGGGCAACGGTTGCGGGATTACACAAGGTCTTGCCCACTCCTGAGGTTTCTGATGCGCCGAGCAACAAGATGTGAAACTTGGTGGCTACGTAAGAACAGCACGTTCCCTCTAGAGTGTGCATGATACGCCAACGCGGATGCACGATTTGCATCTTGGGCCTACAATCATGTGCATGATGGGATAACGAAGTAAGTCGTAAAGGCCTAGTACGACGTAGCAGAAGAAACACCTGTAAGCGGATGGAACCCAAGAGCTGGAGCCGGGACCCGAGGGTTCTGCCGCCACGCCCACCCCGCCTCAACGAACTGGAGCTGTTCACTCATCAAGCAAGACCTCGTCTGGTGTCAACGTCTCAGTACTCCCAGGAAGGCAACATGTATGCGGCAGGCAGAACATCGCCAGCAGACGTTCAGCAGGCGACAACATCTTACAAGAGGATGGAACCCAGGTACGCCAGAGTTCCCCCTGTGACCGGACAGCAAGTCAATCATCGCTGTCAACACCGACGTCATCGCCTCGTCGACGACCCGGAAGTAGGGACCAGCAGCGCGGATGTACTGCAGATTGTGGACTAGATCAGTGGAAGACTCTAGTCAGGAGGGGAGTGGATCTCTTCTCACAACAACTGAGGCCAGCTGAAGAACATCGTTGGTGAAGAACACGACGCATCGTTGCAGAACTACAGCAAGAATACAGCAATGGGCGAGTCAACAACATCGGGACAACGGACTCGTCGGGAATAAAGACTTTGTTAATTTGTATATACAATATATATGTAATTTTTTTAAGTTCAGAAAACTTGGAGTTCACCGTTACAGAGAAAATAAGTTATGAACGAAAATTTTTGTGTAGACTCTGGTGAACTGGGGAACCAGCGGAAAGATGGTTCCAATATAAATTTAATTGGTCATCATAAATTGTGTTATTTTTTTTCAAATGTTGATTGGTCATCTGAGAGGATTGATGGGCTGCCATGCAGGTATGGTCAGCCTGGATTTTGAGTTACCATGGTAACTGTTATTGTTGAGAGTCTTTATAAATATTTCTCGACTGTGAAATGTATATATTTAGATAGGGTAGCTATTTTTTTTTCGAGGCATGTGCTAGTTCCTTTATGGTCTGGGATAAGAAAAGCCATGTTCGAGTTCCTCGCCCACGGTTTTTCTTAAACCGGGACATTGGGGGATATGTAACAAGAGAGCAGTACATAGTACATGAACATCATAACAGCATGAACAGGCCACGTGGAGGATGAACAACCCACAGGCGCCAGTCAGGCGACGGCAGACAATGTAAAAGTTACACCTCTGTATAAGTTAGCCATAGAGTCAGGTCAACGGTCATCGAATCACAAAGAGGTCAGAATTGATGCCGTCATGGTAATCTTCAGGGATTAACCCCTAAACAACAAATGCAAAACCCTCATGTTCAGCTGAGGAGCAGTAGATCAGGAGAGTCAGTTGAGTGGGCACAGCCCAGTAGGGAGGTGTGTGTGGACTCTGGGAAAGAACATCATCTCCAGGGAAACTGTGGAACAACATACGAGTAAGTACGGCTCTCTTGTACTAAAGCACCTCATTCAGTACCCTTGGCCTCTAGTAGGGAATATAGTTAGGGAGTGTCTTATTTAATTATTTCAAATAAAGTCAGATATTAAGTGTTATTAAATGTGTATTAATGGTTCCTTGCTTTAGTGATATTGGGCCTACCGTCCCCTTTGCCCTAGTGACCTAGTGCTCTTAATTATTCAGTACTCCTCCCCCCGTTCGTCTTCCGTGTTGAGGTATTAGTGTTGGTGTGTCCCGCCTTATTCTTGTGTACACTATAGTTCCCAAGTGGTCAGGATTATTCGAGTGTCAGGCCAGGATCCTTGTACCGTTCAATTGTCCCCTACACCTGTCCTGGTAGGTTACTCCATCTGCAAGACCTACGACTCTCACTCCGGTCCCCTGTCCGGTAACTCAGGGTGGTGGCAGCGTCACTCGGTAACTCATACGATAGGTTGTGACTACGATTATCTCTATCTTTCTGTCTCACTCTCCCTCACTAGTGTCTCACTCTCCCTCGCCCTCACTCGCTCTCGTTCTCCCTCCCTTGCTCTCGTTCTCGCTCTCCTCTCTCTCTCCTCTCGCTCTGCCTCCCTCTTCCTCTCTCTCTCCTTCCTCTGTGTACTGGTTTACGTCTTCGTATGACGGCCCGAGTGTTAACATCTTATATGATCGGTATAGCATCTGTTATTACCATAGAAAGAGCGGAGATTGCACGGTTAGCTCAGTGGTAGTAGCGGAGTGCGCGGTCGAGATAGATACAAGGCGAGGTATTACAATCAGGGTCATTACATATATTTCTATCTACCAGCAAGCACTACTAGGCAAGATCACACTCCAGTACATATCTGACTACCATTTCTATGCAGAGAGGCATTACCGGAGACATTCAATTTGAACAGTACTACAGTATATTGTTTAGAATCTTAAGGTGAGAGCAGACTACAATCAGAAGGCAGGATTGTGTAAACAAAAATTATAACAGTATGTACGGGTACTGTAAAATACAAAGCTTTACCATCACAAAACAATGATTCAATACATGCAACTCATACTACAGTAGTATTATGAGTTGAATGTACATTGTACATATATGCCTAGCTCAGACAATGCAATGTTTGTTGATATACATACATGGTTGTAAGTGCTTTTTTTATCTTATATTTTGACTAAAATTGCCTACATTCATGTAACTTATCATACATATGGCAAACAAACATTCTCACTTCTTCACATAAATAAATAAAAAATTAATCTTTTTGTTTTTAAATTTGTTTCAGATTTACAAATTATACTGCTAAGTAACATTGATAGCATCATTGGAAAGCCTACACATAGTTCAACAGTTCAACCCCCCATTGCACTGGTATCAGCCTGTCATGACTGTGCATAGACCTTATTTATGTGAGTAACTGAAAGGTACAATTCAGAAATGTGACATCCTACCTTTTGTTTTGGTGTTTGGGGTATGGTTTTGAGAACCTTTTTCTTTTTCTTTCTCAGGGGCAACATGGGCTATTTGGTTGTCTAGTTTACACGCTTGTCTGCTGGAGGACTTGTCACCCTGATGCTTCGGTTTATCACAAGACGGGATGCTCTGATTTCGTTGACTGCCAACTGATTTATCTAATGGTTGTTTTTGATTATCAACAGACTTGTCTCCGTGTTTAGATTTGCTTACAGATTTATCTATTTGGTGACTTGGTTTAGTTAATGCTTTATCTGTGTGTTCACTAATAAGCTGATCACTCGGTATCCTTTCAGGTGAAGTCGCAGCCGAAGTTGGAGGGCCTCCAGGTTCCGCCTTGACCTTCACCTGCGTAGCGTTGACAAGTGCAGGGCCACACTGAATCACAGACACATTATTTATATGCTTGGGCTTTGGAAGAGAGCTATTATGATTGACTTGTCCACCGACTTTTCCAATTTCAGGCTTAAGATTACTCTCACTGCCACCTAAAAAAGTAAACAAATCATTAATATAAAAGTCTATATACTATTGTAGAGCACTGTATGAATATTTTATGCCTATCTATTTCTAAGTAAATTAACTAAGACACTCATCTGTTTTCAAAATACAGTACTTGTGCAAATATATCAGAATGTATTCAAAGAATGATCTACAAAAAGGTATGCTGTGAAGACTATTTATGTAAACAACCGTGTAAAAAAGTAATTGTAGTAGACCGAGTGGCACTGATATGTCTGAGTTTAGACCAAGATGAAAACCATTAATGAGAGAAGGCTACCCACTTTTAAGTCCTCCATGAAATTTAATTCTTCATACATCATTTTAGCTTATCAGACATCCATTGAGCATAGGCCTGAGATATTCTACATCATTATACCTTGCCTGCCAGTAAAAACAGCTGGGTTACAGCGCAGTATTCCTTCCAACAGAGGTGGTGCTGTCTTCACCTCTACAGTCACCTCTGTCTCAGCATACTGTTCTTTAAGTTCTCTGTAAATGGGATATTAATAAATTAATGTTTTATTGTTATGTTTACCATTTAATACAATTAAATTCTGTAGCCTGGAAAAAAACACCTAAAGACCTTTTCAGAGGCCAAAATTTAATGCACTTTAATTAACAAAGTAAATGGTGAATCCACTTAGGGAGTCTGCTTCTCTCTCTCTCTCTGACTGCAACCAAGAAAAATATCAACTCCCATACAAGTGCTAGATGTATACCATCCATTTACCGCTTTATGTTGGACTACTCTACACGGAACTACTAAAATACTGTACAAGGCAATTAACTGGGCGATGGATCAGCCTTAGGCAAGGAGTCGTGTAACCTTTAATGAACAATTTAACCTTAAGGAAATCCTGCACTAGGCACATTGGTCAATATTTTTTTATTGTGGATTTGTATCGTGCTAAACAATCAACCTAGACGGAGATTTTGTAAACTGCAGGTTCACCATCATTAATTTGTATACTGTAGATGAATATAGCTATGAATCAGCAGTAAGGTACCATTAATATCTTCAAAAGGTAATTCTGTAAAATTTAAGTTATCAGCAAATACAAGTTAATTTACATTGTAGTAACTATATCAGACTGCTGTAGCAGCTTCAATGTCTTGAGGAAGTCTGCTACATCTGCACCACATGTCAGATGATTATTTAAGGCTGCATAAACACAGATCTAGATCAATCTCACCAGAAAGCTGTCAATAGCAATGCCACCTTTGACCAGCGTCGGTCCCCACTGTCTCACCAAATGACTAAACCATCAGCTGTGACCAGAGTCTGCTACCACCTGCACTCAACATCCTCACTTTTTTTTAGGCAACTGTTGTGGGGTTAAATCCTGCAAAGGGTCAGTAGTTTGACCTTTGGTGGGACAAGTGAAACAAACCTAAAATATATACTAGTATTACACAGGCTTCCTGTCCCCAACAAAAATGAATTAGAATTAAAAACAAGTTAAGTTTCACAGATTTTACACACAAGTCAAAATCAATGACATACTTAATTCACAGACTTCTATCTATACCTTGTGGTGGTTCTGAGGATCAATGTCCTAATGGTCGAGTCTCTGAATGCGCCCGCTATTCACACAAGAGTTTCTTACACCTACCCCATTTGACTGACACTTATCAATTCTGTTTCTGGCTATCACTACAACAGGTTGGGGAAGCACCGAGGTCTTTAATCGAGTATCTTACCTTGTGTTTACCTTGCTGCTCAGTTTGACCAGTCCTCCTGAGTAATGGTCTGGTCAACCAGGCTGTTAAGACACAGCTGCTCGCAGCCTGACATGAATCACAGCCCGGTTGATCAGGTATATTTAGGAGGCATTTATAAAATTTTACCTCTATCTTGTGGTGGTTCTACCTTTGACCACCACACCATTCTATATCACAATGGATTCAGAAGGATGTCTGATTTTTGCCCAACATTCTTAGCATTTGCAACATTTACAATGCTGAGTAATTGTTTCAAGAAAAAGTATACATTAAATGTGTGAACAACTGAATGATGAAAACTCCTTACAAGAGACTGATAGTTTATATAAAAAACAGACCATGGAAAAAGAAAAATGATAAACAACAAAAATACTACTACAAAAATAAAAATAAACCTACATTCAGCTATAAAGTTCTACCATAGGAATACTTAAGATCATAAATAACAAGAAGACTGCATAAAATGTTGAAGTAATACATTAACATACACTACATCATCTGCTCCAACATGAGATCTTTTGCCCAATTTTTATATTAATTTATTTTGTTATTTGTCAGAGTTTGATATTTTGCTTATCCTTTACCAATACTGTATTACAAACAAATTATTGAGTACTGTATATTATTTACATTTAAAGGTTTGCCATAAAATCTTATGACTAGCAACTTACAACTTACATATGATCAGCATCTGTTAATGCAAGTGAATTAGCAAGCTGTTCCAAAAGAGCTGGGTCCTGGCAGGAAAGGAGCCTCTGGGCCTCCTCAGCAACACGGGGATGAAATAAAAGTGACCGAGAATCCCCGAAGCCCACGGATGATGAAGGAAGTGGCAACTCAGGAAGTACTGAAACAAATAGTCATTTATGAGTCCCCTTTCTTTGCAAGTAAAAATGCTTAATATCTTAATCCATGAGAATTGTTGAACATGTTCACAACAAATAACTTTTTTATGCTACCATCAGAAAGTTAAAATATCTAAGCTACTTGGATTGCCTACAAGTACTCATCTCTGAAAGACAAATAAAATCTCCCTTAAAGGTATTGGTTTCTAAGGAAAAACTTCCTATACCCAACAAAGATATATAAACATTTAAAAATTAGTTACTGTACTGTAGTCCTATTCCACTAAACATGTTATGGTTAAAAAAAGGTTTGAATGTATATAAAAACATACTGAAATAATGTTAAATAGGAACAAAACATATTTTATCAATTAAGTTATGCATTTTCTCCAGTACACATGTATACATTAACCTAACAGTTATTTTATTGTCTTTTGCAATCACCCCTCCTCTTTACAATCCATCAATTGATCTATTGTTAATATACTTATGCCCCAACATACATACTGTACTGATAACGATGCTGCTATAATTGCAATAATTAAAGGTTAGTATAATAACGTTGGTCATTGTTAATTAATTACAGAAGGTTAATAAATTTTCCAAAAATATATTTATAAATGATAATTTTAGGCAAAAATTCTAGAGGTACATATTACATAATGGTGCATAATTTCAAAATAGATTATTACTGAAAGTTATAGTTTATAATAAAACTAATTTTAGTTTATACTAAAGTTAGTTTATATTAAAAAACCAGGATACATAAAAGTACTGTACTGTATGTAGTGTTCTTAAACATTAGGAATAATGTTTATTATAAACATATATTCCTATAACCTACCCCTTGATATTGTATAATTATATTAGTTAATTGTTAATAAACATCATTATAAACAATGATAATGTAATACTATAGTTATTAACCTCACAATATCCACGTGGTACACGAGAAAAGCGCGCCAAAAACGTTTGTTTTTATTATTCCCGTTTTCTGTGACCGATCAGCTGATCGCTTGTTCAATGTCAAGGTCCCGCCGACTCGTGCGACGAGTTGCCGATTGCGTATATTTTAGATTTACAAGTTTTCAATGCATTTAGTAATGTATATTAGCAGCTTAGTATAGTTTATAAAAGTTGTCTATATATATCTAAATACAAATGTAGACAATATAATTCATTATTAATGAATAATGTAAGTAAACATTGAAGCAGATTGGCATGAGTCGAAGCCTGACATCGCCACAACAAACACTACCAAGTCATCAATGCTTGACTGATGACTTGATGACAACAGTACTACGCCTGGTCATCAATGAGCAGTGTATCATCCACTAACTTTACAATATAGCCCAAGTCTCATGATGCACAATTATTAGTGTTGAATAACATTACTGAACACTAGTGAACATTATTATTAAGATTATTCCAACCCATTCTCCTGTTTAGATAATACCTACTGTGAAGGTCGTCAATAGTCACGAATACGTACATACTTAACTTTTAGATAGTAATATACTGACTGATAAGGAATTCTTTTAAAATAAATGAAACTAAAAACAAACTTAAATATTCCTAGGCTTAGTATAGCGCACACATGTACTATATTAGGCCTCAGATATCGTGTATTAGGCTTAGGAAGGTTAGGTTAGTTTAGTTTGTCAAAGCAACACAATTAAAAGCAAAAAAGTTTTCCGGTTTATCCAACTCAATAGTTCAGATTTCTAATTTCGTTGTACGTCGGTATATATACTATGGTCCTCATCGTTATTCTAAGTACTACCAAAACAGGAGGATGGGCTGGATTATACTTATATTTGAATATGTAATTATGTTCAGGCCAATAGTGTACTTGCGGGACTCCAGGTTCAACCTTGACGACGAGCGGACGTCTGAACACCACCTCCGCCAAGGGGACCGCCGGATCACGTTCTGTTTCGCGATTTTGGTTTATGATACTGCCGTTTGGCGTTCCTTTTCAACGGTCCGGATTGTTACAACGTCTGGCGCAAATATCACCTTGGGGTCACAGGATAGTTGATAGATTTTAAACGTTTTCTAACTGGTTCTCTAGGCGGGGTGGCGGTGTCCGGCGCCGGCTTGGCAGAGATACCGAGAGTTGGCGGGTTCGTGGGCTCCTAGTGTGCCCTCAGCCGTGGTGGGCAGCTGGCATCTGCTCTGCCAGAGGGTACTGGATGACCTTTGCGTTATGGTTGGGGGGCCACGTTTTGGTTTTGCTACCCATTATTGTCTGTGTGGGGTGGGGCTGGTGCCCGAGGGACTCTTGGGGATCATCTGCCCATCTGTGTTTTTATTGGATTTCGGGGCTTAGCGTTCCCGCGGCCCTGTCCTCGACCAGGCCACCTTTTTGTTACACACATCCCCAGGAAGCAGCCCGTAGCAGCTGTCTAACTCCCAGGTGCCTATTTACTGCTAGGTAACAGGGGCATCAGGATGAAAGAAACATTTTGCCCATTTATCTCCGCCTCCACCGGGGATCGAACCCGGAACCTCAGGACTACGAAACCAAAGCGCTGTCCATCCAGCTGTCAGGCGCCTGCAATTTTGCCATTCAGCTTCGCAATTAACCCTACACGGGTACGCTGGAGCGCCTCCGATTCCATGATCGTCGTTGCCCCTAAATTAACAACAACATCGAGTACATGCTGGTTGTTCACTAAGCTACTACGATTGTCATAATTTGATAAACCTTCTGTGGTTGATAGGCCAAAGTCCAACCTTATACCATACACCTCTCCAATCTTTAGCACCATTTTTTATCACCCAACTCGTGCTTATGCTGCCTAAATTATATTTTATGTGTATGGGGTCTATACCTATGAAACCTGATTTCACATGTACAAACCTAACCATTTTGACACACTGGCGATTGTACCTGGATGGGGTTCTAAGAGTTCATTTACTCCCCAAGCCCGGCCCATGAAGAGAGCTTGGTTACACAGGCTGTTGCTTGGGGCAGCATGGAGGCCCAGTTGGTCAACAACTATTTACAGAAAACTGTCTAGCTTTTTTCTTGAAGAATTGCACTTTTGTTCCAGCAATATTCCTTATGCTAGCTGAGAGAATACTGAACAGCCGTGGACCTCTTATGTTCCTACAATGTTATCTGTGTCTATGGCACCTCTACACTTAAACTAGAAGGGAAGGAGGGAGGGAGGGGAAAGGGAGAGAAATAGAGAGAGAGCAGGGAGGGGGGAAATGGGAAAGTGAAAGCAAATGAAATATTTAGTTCATTAACATACAATTAAAATTCCATTAAATTTTCTAGTAGTCATATAATGTTTCTAAATCATTACAATTACATATCTTATGCAAGCTGTAATCGCTAGAGTTCTGAATGTAGCTCAAATGACAAAATCACTAATAAGCTGTTGACAATCGACTTGATAATGGTCCAGGACGGACCGAAACGTCGTCGTCTCTTCACTTTCTAGTGTGTGGTCTGGTCATCACTAATAAGCTATAAAACCGGATGAAGGTTAATGCAATGTAGATCAATAAATGTACCTACCTCATTTACAGCTCAATATTTCTATTGCGAAAATTAAACAAAATCTCATCTTTAAGCTTAATTATTTTTAATTAAGTGTGTGTATTTAAGGACAGGAATAATAAGCATGAAAAGCAAAAGAAAAAACTCGTCAAAATACGCGCCAAGTGCAGCAAAACTTTCCCGCCAAAACTCTACTCCACCCGCCGCGCCATCTGTTGAGAGCAGAGGGAGACGCGAGTTCAGGGAGTTGCCGCTAGATGCCACCACTTGAATGGAGGGCCTTTCCAAGAAACTTTACTACAGACGATACTCTGTGAATCGGCCCCGTTCCAGAAAACATTTAAGCTTCCGTATTGTTTTATACAATACATTTACATAAAAATAACGTCGGAACTATATCTTGCAATAACAATTTAAAGCGCACCACGGCGAGTAAATAAGGTGACCTTGGCGGAGGGATAACAGAAACGTTTGGAGAAACGTTGTCTTGCATGAGGTCGCTCAGTCACCGACCCACACTGAATGCGTGCGATCCTTCGCATCAAGCTGTGACCAGCTCAAGCTCAACACAAGCCACTTTTTGCATGAGACTGCGTATTTCTAGCTTGCAAATGGATTCTATCATTATTACATGTAAATAACGATTTAACTGAAGAAGCATCAATAAAAACACCATAAAATTTCAATCACGCCCGTCAAAAATTATCAAGTTAAAAAATAAAAGCCATAGAACAGGGTAGGAGAGTGAGGGAGGGAGGAGAGCGAGGGAGAGAGGAGAGCGAGGGAGAGAGGAGAGCGAGGGAGGGAGGAGAGTGAGGGAGGGAGGAGAGCAAAGGAGAGGAGAGCAAAGGAGAGGAGAGCAAAGGAGAGAAGAAAGTGGAGAGGAGTGCTGGGAGAGGGAGGGGACAGTGCTGTGAGAGGGAAGGGACAGTGCTGGGAAAGGGAAGGGACAGTGCTGGGAGAGGGAGGGAACAGTGCTGGGAGAGGGAAGGGACAGTGCTGGGAGAGGGAAGGGACAGTGCTGGGAAAGGGAAGGGACAGTGCTGGGAGAGGGTGGGAACAGTGCTGGGAGAGGGAAGGGACAGTGCTGGGAGAGGGAAGGGACAGTGCTGGGAGAGGGAAGGGACAGTGCTGGGAGAGGGACGGGACAGTGCTGGGAGAGGGACGGGACAGTGCTGGGAGAGGGAAGGGACAGTGCTGGGAGAGGGAAGGGACAGTGCTGGGAGAGGGACGGGACAGTGCTGGGAGAGGGAAGGGACAGTGCTGGGACAGGGAAGGAACAGTGCTGGGAGAGGGAAGGGACAGTGCTGGGAGAGGGACGGGACAGTGCTGGGAGAGGGACGGGACAGTGCTGGGAGAGGGAAGGGACAGTGCTGGGAAAGGGAAGGAACAGTGCTGGGAGAGAAACTACCTATTGTTGGTTCTGGAAATCAACGTTCATAGCCTGGTCAACCAGACTGTTGGACGCAGCTGTACGCAACCTGATGT